ACGTCACCACCTCCCGGCGATTGTGCTCCGATGCCGCTAAGTGAGAAACAAAACACGCGAAGTCGACCACCAGTGAGTGTTCGATAGACTGTTGGGGCGAGTGGCGTGGGCGGACACGTGGTGAGGAGGCCGACACGGCAACAGCGAGCCGTGACCAACCCCACGCCGGCTCACATTCGCCTCCGCAGTGCTGATGCTTATTAAACACGGAATCTCACGCATGACGATGCGGTGACAGTAGTGGAGGAGGACCGATTCAGATAATCCGCGCGAATGTCGGCCGCGGCTGGATTCGTAACGCAGTTAACCACCCACCCCCACCATGAACACATCACAAAGGCGAAGATCCCCCGTGTAGCCTCAATGAGAGACGTTCACGCGGGCAAGTGCTCTTTGCGAGCACCACCTAATGAAGGGCGGCCACACGCGCACTGGCTCACACTCGGACACGTGCAGCTAGAGGCCCCACGAAGCTTTAAACACACACAAAAAAATGTGGTTATAAAATGTACACTTGCCACAGACACAGTCACTTCTGCTATAGCGCGTGTTTTCATAACGCGATGAATGTAGAAGGGAACGCATCCTTTATTTTTTAAACGCGAATGCGAATTGGATAGAACCCCGATTTCGTTAACAGAAGTACATCGCGCGAGTCGGAATAGGCGATTGTACGCACAGCCTCACACAAGGCGGGGTGCTGCTTTGTTGATTTAAATAAGTGGCTTAGCGAATAACACGTTAACATGCATTTTTCACTAATTTTCACGTTTTTTATTAAATTAGTGAACCGATGGTTATTATAATGAAATTCTTGCATAACGCGGTGTTCTTCATGGACGAAGTTACCGCGTCACAGGCGAACAGACCACATTGTATAAGGTTTCATCTCAGAATAACAAAATGTTAATTTCCAGATGTCTCTAAATCCACTGCTGGATGAAGGCCTCTCTACCCTCTGTCAGTCATGGAAGTTGATTGACCATACTTCACCGCCCTGGTCAATGGCGGGTTCGTGAACGGTGTGGGAGAAGGCGGACCTCGCACCAGTTTATATGTCAACCACCGATGTAGACTGCAGCTGAGAACCCAACTCAGATCGCCGGTTTCGCAGGGCAGTGAGGTGCTCCAACCCCCAACGTCTGGCCTGGTTCTAAATGAATTGGAATTTGATTTATTGTTCACGTGAGAAAAAATGTGCTGAAGCCATTCTGATTTCTATTAGTCACGCCTCTGTAACAGGCACAATGTATAACGAACACGCAAGCAGCCGCATTCACAATTAATAAACACAAACACACATATATACACGAGTGCCCGCGGCAACCACAACAAAACCCAAACTATTTTTAATTCAGCAGCGAGAGCATCGGTCCAAAAGCCGTGGTTTGCGCACGCGATTGCTCTGCCAAACGCACGTCACCCCTTTCCACTCCAGCCACCCGTTTCCAAGTGTTCATCACGGCACATAGACCTCTCCCTTCTCACTGCACTTCTCAAGGTCACTTTAGCTGGAGGGGGCGAAACATCTGGTCCAATCAGGTACGGATCACCCATTTACGTCAGGTACACGGAGGCGTTGGGAAATCACGTCTCGGGAGATTCAACGTGGCGCAGAATCGAGTCCTCGTCGTTGCTCATCGTGAAGGGTCCGGGGTCAGACCGTGACCCACAAACAGCCGTGTCCTTCATCACGAACGCTTGCCCAATAAAGCTGGCAGCTGCCTCCTGCGGTTACGTGGAATTTGGAGGAACGCGGTACGGCGGGAGCGCAGGAGTTAATAATAACAATTAAATAAGTCTGCAGCCATGCGTACATCCATTGGTGGATGAGTAGGCCTCCCCCATGCTTCAGTACGCTGGCCACTGTGGGTTGAGTTCAGCGTCAGAAGGACTCCATCACTACCCCAGCACACGTAATAATATGATGCTTGCAGTAATACGTTCATTCTTTGCACTCGAAAGCTTAATTGTGTCCCAAGGACTCTTTTTTTTCTGGGGAGTACTGCATTGGGACCTTTTTTCCATTTAACGATGTTAATTGTGCGGCGTGAGGGAGGATACCGAATGACCCTGAAGATACCCATGGGATAACACTCATAGCTCCGCACAGATAGATTCGTGAAGCCAGTGTTGTTATCTCATAACATATGCAAATATGCAGCAATCGGTTTTCGTGGACAAATTCCCATCCAACTGGTAACCAGGCTCAACCCCGCGAAGCTTTTGAGATCTGACGATGTCAATCACATTCAGGAAGATTTGACGATGGGCGAAATATGAGACCCTGGACGCTGTAACTTATATTGGTTTGAATTATACACAAATCGTTTTTTTTTACATTGATTAGACATGCTAAGGCGTTCATACATAATTAAATAGCAAAATTGGGGGTTTAAAAATGCATCTATTCATTCGTGAAAGTCCAGGGTAACGCATCGAATAGCGTGCTTAGGAACCAATGTGGTCATTGTTTATTACCATATCGGTTGTATGTAATAGGTTCACATCGTCCCTACAGCCACTAATGCTCATTACACGCACAAAAACGTGAACAAAATAACTGATTCTTAAATCAAATCGCAACTCTAATATCGTGGCAAATCAAAACACCTCAATTCATAATGTAGAGTGTGGTCTATTGTACAATTCATTGTACATTGGACGTTAACTCACTTTCGTTTGCATGCCTTGCATGTATATTAGTTAATCCAAGGTCATGTATCCTCCTTTTCTCCTCTTATTTTCTCAGAACGATAACGTGGAACATACGTGAGGCTGTGATTAATATTCTCCGTGTATTGGAGATTGTTATTAGCCCTGAACGCTCCAGCTTGCTAATCCGATAAGACTAATGCACGTTTTTTTTAATATATATTTTCCATGCAACAATCGGAAAACTCCCCGTCGCTTGCCCATATATACACCGTATGAATATATTAACCATCGAGTATGAGGTACACGTAGACTTTCTGCAATATCTTGAAATATTTCAGATTCGAGTGGAAACGCCCATCAGCGCACCTCTTCGCAATTTGCAGCAATCAAACGGAGCAACAACAACAACAAGAACAACAACAAGAACAACAACAGGAACAGCAACAACGACAACAACAAGAACAACATCGACAACAACAAGAACAACGACAACAACAACAAGAGCAACACCGACAACAACAAGAAGAACAACAGCGACAACAACAACAACAAGAACAACAACAAGAACAACAACAACAAGAACAACAACGACGACGATTCTCGCCGTTTGTGTCCATCTGCATGCAAATTAGATGACGGGTTTAGCACCTCCTCGCTCACGAGTTAACAAGGCAATCCCGCTCGTACGCAGCTTAAAGAACCAACGAATTACACAGACGACCTCAATTCCGCGACTCTCTGTCAATGCCGCAAATGAGACTTTTTTTGCCGATTCCCAGACTTCGTACTCGCAGACGTGAAACAAGGGGCCGCGCTCCCAATCCAAAGCTGGCTGCAGCTGCGATGTCACCCACAGCGGTTTGAGAAATCCTCCACGGACCCACCGCTGCCTACCTCTCTCATCTCGTCTAACTCAACTCCCCTCCGCGCACTCTCTCCTCTAGCAACGGAGACTTTCTGTCACAGCCCCCGCCAAGGCTATAACCATCGCTGTGTGGGAGGTTGATATTTCTCTGCTGCAGCTGCTGATGCTTCACCGGTCTGGAATTAACTTCTGCTGGCTGTCCACGCCGCTGAAACCCCCTCTCTCTCTCTCTGTACAAATTCAGGTTCAAGGATTTTGCTCTTTTATTGTTGTTGCCACTGAATGCCCTGTCTCTACGAAGCATGCGCACAGCTCCCCGAAGGTCGCTTCCATTTCCCCTCGGGCCGACAGAATTATGTTCATCATTTCCGACAATGAAAACAATATGTATCTCCGTTCGACAAAACTCTCCAGATGAACATGATTATCCCGATTTGTCCAGCGCCTTGAAATGCAGCCACATTTTAATAAGCTAAACAAAAAAATGTAATAAACTACGTTTTATTTTTTACCAGGTATGGCCCACTGACCTATACAGCTCTTTTTAAGAAGCGACCTGGCCACACATGATAGACAAACGAAGTGGTTTATCGCGTGGAAATTTATCGCAGTCAAATGCTGTAAACACACGTTGTTTCTAAATGTGAGGGGAAAAACCGAAGGAATCAGAGAAAAAATCCACACGACCACAGCGAGAGAGACATGCAAACTCCAAATATACGGGCGTCAAGGTCGGGATGGAACCCGTGACTTCATGTATACCAGGCGAGGTGGTTCACATCTCGCCACCATCGGCAACATGACAGCAACAACTGGAATCCATATAGCATGCAATCGCATCTCAGGACACTTTACAAAATTGAAACAAACAAAATTCGACACAATCATCATTATCATGATCATCAGCCATGATCAATCCACTATTGCATGAAAACATCTACAAGCTGTTGCCATCTCTTACGGTGCTGTAAGGTAGCAATCCATTATACACATCCGTATCATTCTCACAAACAGTGCCATAACAATATCCACATTGGTTTAAATGCATAGATCTCAATGTTCTTACTGGGTCGGTTGTTGGCGTTTTCTCTCCAATGCCATTTCGGGTTGTCACCGCGCGTTATTCTCCGAACGCTTTTGAAATCGACTCGAGGTGGCGAGCGCCCAGGCCATGCAGAAACACGCCGGGACATCGCGCGGGACGCGCACGCGGGGTCACACCGGGACGCGGAATAACCAACCCGAAGTCACGGCGACATTCGTGCACGTCAACCGGCATTAGATGCGCGCTCGCTCGCGAGACGTCCACGCGTCCTCACAGCGCGCGCGCTCTCTGCGCGACAGGGACCCCCCCCCCCCCCCCCACGTACCCCCCCCCCCCGCTCCGCATACCCCTCCCCCCCACCCCCACCCCCCCGCGTACCCCTCCTGCATACCCCTCCCCCGTACCGCCGCCCCCCCCCCTCACCCCACGTACCGGAGCTCGCTCTGCTGTCACTTTCCGCCGAGACCCCATCGGGGCTCGAGATCTTGGCTGGCCCTCCGCTCCCCGTGGGGCTTTCCCCGCCGTCCGTGTCGCCGCCGCCGCCGCCGCCACCGCCGCCGCCGCCGCCCGGATGAGCTGGGGGGGTCGCCGAGCCGGCGGCGAGGGGGCCGCCCTCCCCCCGAAGGCCGAGCTCGCAGAAGCGCTGCTCCAGCAGCTGCACGGAGCCCGGCGTGCTGCACGCGGCGTCGTGCTGCCTCGCCTGCAGCCGCGCGTCACGAAGATACAAAGATAATTAAATACGGGCAAAGGTCTCCACTCCTCCTCCCTCCCCCAGTGTAGCCCACGAAGACCGTCAGGAGTGGGAAAGTGCTGCGAGCGAGCATCTGGGAAGGGGTGGCACTGCACGCATCGCACGCGTACAGCGCCACACGTCCAGCCATCCACTCATGCATGCACACGTGCATGAGCAGCACAGAGTGAAAACACGTGCACTTTTCAACTTTAAACACGTGCCGAGCCTGGGTTTGAGTCCTGACCGTGGCTAAGATCGGTGTGGCAAGTGTCAATTGAAGCGGTCGTGATGGAGATTAAAGTAGTGGAGGGCGGTAACACGGACCGCTCGACATGAAAACAAATCATGCACACATACCAGTAAATGAATGATATTAGGAGGTTCTGGGTGTCACACTCGAAGCCACTGCCTTTCACAGCATGAAAAATGGAGAACGCTCCAAGATCAAAGGAAATAACCTGGGACACCATCAAAGAAGTGGGGCCAGCTGTTGGATCTTTACACGGAATGGAAATATTTCAATGTCGGAATGACGCCTCGCTTCCTTCCTCTATTCAAAAAAGGAAACAAACCCCGATTGGATAATTACAGTCCCATTAACCCCACGATCAGCGCGTAAATTGTGAACGAGGATTGGCACGGGGAACTAAACGATTAACGATCTAGAGGAGAACCCTGACACGTAAACACAGCACGGTGAAGCATGTTCAAACATTCCCGATGATCGACGCGACTTTGGGAGGCCTTCATCCAGCAGTGGATTGACGAAGGCCTGCGGAATGGAAAGAGGTGAGTCACGAGAGGACACAGCGGCCGGTTGTCAAAACTAATAAACGAAAACAGGTTTTTTTATTTTACCAGGTCGGCTCACTGAACTATATAGCTCTTTTTTTTAGAAGCGATCTGGCCACAAATGATTGCTCAACGAAGTGGCTTATCACGTGGAAATGTTTTGCGGCCAAATACTCTAAACACGTGATGTTGATTCTAAATGTGGAGGAAAAAACCGGAGGTTCCAGAGAAAAATCCACGCGACCAAGGGGAGAGAGACATGCAAACTCCAAGTATACAGCAGGCGTCAGGGTCGGGTTTGAAGCCACGTCCTTCTGCATACCAGGCGAGGTAGTTACCATCTCACTACCGTGGCGCCCTAACTAGTTATGGTGTGACGTCCACACAAGAGGGCGACCACCGTGGAGATGAAGCAATGAAATAATGTAGGAGATAAATAAGATGATAGAGATACATCGTTTATACGTAGGAGATACAGTAAATAGATTATTGATTCGCAAGACTGAAGAATGACGGTGGCTTGGCTTGGTGCGGCCTTGATTTGAAATGTATCATTACATACAATGCATCTCGGTAGCATTTGCTTAAATTAGAGTAACAATGTTTCTCAAACTATCCTTGTATGTTGAACGTACTTCACACCGTACGTAGCCAACCGTGCTAATGAGACGTGCGGGGGAAGGACAGCAAACTATAACCGAAAGCAGTTCCAAAGAAATGAGTTTTCAATCTAGATTTAAAGTGCATAGCTCCAGTGGCTTCCTAACATTGTCTGGAATATATACAGAGGGCCAGCTATATGTTGGTAATCCCTCACTCACGAGCGACTTGGGATGCGCTCACATGTAGATGCTCAATCAATCCAATTCCTATTTGAGTTGTGCCGATTACTCATCCTACTCACAAAGAGCCCGGCCCTTGGTCAGTCTCTCACTCAAGACCAGAGCTGCCCCTCCCCTTCCCCTCCCAGATATTTTAGGATGGCTGTTGTATATATCATAGTCGGGGAAGAGATTAAAAACAAAACCAGCTGGACATGTGCAGTGGAAAAAGTTGTAGAGAAGAAACGGACATTGAGATTGAGAGAAGCATTGCATGAATATAGACAACTGCGAATGAAGTTAACAAAAAAAACGATGTCACCCTGTAATACCAACTGAGCTACATAATTATTTTTCAGAAGCGACCTGGCCATAAATGATAGCTCAACGAAGTTGGCTTATCATCACGTGGAAAATGTATAGCAGCCCAATACTCTAAACGCGTGTTTCTATTTGTAGAGGGAAACACAGGAGGACCATTCTAGATTTGAAGTTTTCGTGACTGCAAGGATCCATACTCTTTGGTTCTTCCGGTAAAGTCACGTAGGTGAAAAAATATATATAAAATAATAGAAATAAATAAATCACGACGTTTCGATTGCAACACAAGCAATCATCATCAGGTGTGACAACCAGATGGACCCTCATTAAAATACAAAAAATTATTTCGGCTCCTTCCTCGCTAATGAGCTGACGGAAGTGACAGATGATGTATGTATGTATGTCATGAGCGTAAAATTATAAATTAATCGCAACTAACAATTGATGTCAATTTTATTTGATATACATTAAATATTATACCATGATTTTTTGTATTCTATTTTACATGCAATCAATTTTGCTTTCCAAAATGTGTGACTTTGTGAAATTAAATTAATTCTTTCCACCCAATCTCTATCTACCGATGGGTGAAATTCATCCCCGTGCCGCATTGGTAATGGGTTGTTGTTGTTATTGTTGTTTTTTAACCATACTTCACCACACTGGGTTCGTCAAAAAGGGTAGAGGGGTGGGCTGTAGCACCAAATTGTTTATTATCGATATAATTTGCCAATGTTCTTAACCACGTCTGGGAATCAAAACCGCATCTGACAATCGAACTCGGCTCGTCTCGTTCACGGCTCAGCGCGCTAACCGCTGCACCGCCGCTTGACTTTACATTGAAGTGGCAACGATTTGACAGCTCTGAAATATTTGGGTGGGTGGGTGTGTGGATGGGGGGGTGGGTGTGTGGGTGGGTGGGTGTGTGGGTGGGTGGGTGTGTGGATGGGGGGGTGGGTGTGTGGGTGGGTGTGTGGGTGGGGGGGTGGGTGTGTGGGTGGGTGGGTGTGTGGGTGGGGGGGTGGGTGTGTGGGTGGGTGGGTGTGTGGGTGGGTGGGTGTGTGGGTGGGTGGGGGGGGGGGTGGGTGTGTGGGTGGGTGGGTGGGTGTGTGGGTGGGGGGGTGGGTGTGTGGGTGGGTGGGTGTGTGGGTGGGTGGGTGTGTGGGTGGGTGTGTGGGTGGGTGGGTGGGTGTGTGGGTGGGTGTGTGGGTGTGTGGGTGGGTGGGTGTGTGGGTGGGTGTGTGGGTGGGTGGGTGTGTGGGTGGGTGGGTGGGTGTGTGGGTGGGTGGGTGTGTGGGTGGGTGTGTGGGTGGGTGGGTGTGTGGGTGGGTGGGTGTGTGGGTGGGTGGGTGTGCGCCTCTGCACTTCGTCAGCGCCGCCCCACCGTTGTGAGCACGGAGCGGGGGAAGAGACGCACCAAGAGACACCCCTCCCTACCCCCCTACGGGGCTTGAGAATGCCTTGCTTTGGGAGATTATGGTTTATCTGTGCCGCCGCTTCCGCGGGTAAGTCCACGGCGGAGTAAATATAGCTCTTCCCAGGAGGATGGAGATGAAAGCCCACGGCTCCCAACCAGCGGACTTGTGCCTGCAGCAGGAAGACAGCTTCATGCAGGACCCAGTGACTATTGCCTTCACGAGCCACCCAACGTCTCACCCGGGGCTTTGTTCTCACCTCGCCGGATTGCTTCCACCTATTGTCTTGGTGACAACAATGAAAAATGATACGCGTACTGGTGTGGTGTGCGTACGTGGGCGTTGTGCTAGCCACCCACCCCCTCGTGTGCCGTGTCGGCCTTCATTGGTGCTCGCTAACACCACTTGCCCCAACAGTCTGTTCGGGCTATACGGGGGATCTTTGTATTTATATGTGCTAGCCTTCATATGTGTCCGCTGATAGCATTTCTGTAGCAGCCTGTGTCTTTGGAAGGGTATACTATCTAAATATCTGTTTGGTCAGTCTTGTCTTATTATGATTCATCCGAATACTGTAAGTTAAATATTATCTTTAGCCAGTTTCGGTGAAAATTAATTATTTGCTGCTCAACTTGGTCGTCAATGGGAGTATTCATTTACTTAAAAATAAGGTCATGTGTATGTATAGGTGCTTCCCGGCAGCACTTGCTCTTCATTTTTCCGTATGGATACACGGCAGTATATTTTTCGGATATTTCTGCACCGCCCTTCAATCAACAATACTTTCCAGCCGTTTGTAAATCCACTGCTGAATTAAAGCATCTCCACTGCGTGTCGGTAATGGGGAGTGCGGGGGGGGGGGGGAGCTGTTTGTCCATACTTCATCGCCCTTGTCAGAACAAGTTGGTGAAAGTGGGGAGCACGGAGGGGGTGGGTTGGTGGGTTGGGGAGGGGGAGCCCGGGAACTGTGTCAGATGTCGCTCGCGGCAATCATAGTTCACTGCGCTAACCGCTGCGCCACCGCTCCCGCCCCCCCCCCCCCATGTAAAAAAAAACACCCCCACTACTGCATGAATACATCATTGTGTGCAAAAAAAGCGTGGCTCCTGGAGCGCGCTGCAGTGTGGCCCCATGTGTTGCAGTGCGGCCTATATTGCCCCCGACTTGACAAATGATGAAGGTGTCGGCACAAGGCGATCAATGCGATCCGGCCGTCACAATCAGGCGCCCGTGTGCCGTGCCTTTGCTTGGACGGCTCGTGCGACATCGCCGGCGTTTCGCTGGCATTTTTTTGTTTTCATCATGAAGCCGTGAGAGTTTTGTATTTTTTAGTGAAACCATTTATGGAAAGCGCTGCGTTTAAACAACAGTCGCTGCAACGGAATCGGGGCTGTGTGTGGATAAATGTTCAAGCTTGGCTGAGCACAAACGGAAGAAAAAAATGATTCATCGAAAAGGAATAAATCCTGTGGTTGTTGCAGCGTGCTATTCAGAGCCTGCGAACGCGTACACAGTGTCTGCAAAAAGGGTTAGGCTGAGCCCTTTAATTCAAGCCTTGCATTGCATTGAGATGTGTTTTTTTTTCAAGCTCAGAACAGCATCCAGGACGCAGCCTCTTATTCCTGAATTAGAAAACGGCACGTTACTACGAAATGCAACGAATAATCGCCTGCATGCTGTCCTTGCTCCATCAGCATTATCATCATCGGCCATGGTCAATCCACTGCTGGATGGAGGTCACGTCTCAGCTGAACACCGATTGATTTTGAGTGCTCCATCTCAACGGTGGACGTCCCAATCGGACACGTTCCATCCCTTTCGTTAATATTTTTTTACAGACTTTTGTCAATACAATGCTGCAAGAAGGGCTCCCCAGAATATGTCGATCATTGGGGTTGATTGACCATACTTCACCACACTGGTTATTGAGAGTCGGCGAAGGGCAGCCTGAGGACCGGGTTCAGATATCACTCACCGTTGATTTTAGCCATGAATAGGATTCGAAGTCACATACGCCGGGTTCATAGCGCAGGGCGCTAACCACTGCGCCACTGTTCCACCCAACTCCCTTCATTACTCGACGTAGATACTTCTGCGGTCATAAAAAAAAAACCTTACAGGAATACGCGAGACGGGGCATACGATAGCACAAACGGATACACTGTGGTTTATTGAGAGCCGGTATTGCAGCATTTGCATTGCTCGCATCGCGGATGCGGAATATCAAACGCTCCACAGCCATCAAAGGGCTGTCCGCTGGGGTTTGTACACAGCTCGCAATTCTATAAACAATGAACACAACGGCGCGCTCGTCTCTCTCTCTCTCCTCTCTTTAATGGCTGAGAGAGGATGTCCGCCTCGCTGCTTGTGTGGTGGGAAGACAGGGGTGGGATGGAAATGTAATATTTGAGCCATTGTACCGCACCGGCTCCCCGCGTGTGTAAAAAAAAACAATTCGTGATGCGTAAAGTAGAGGGCGTCGTTAAACGGATTGATGTACGCGTCCGTCTCTTCTTTGTGTGTGTGTGTCTGGGGTTACGAGTCCCCTCTTGCGTGTGGAAGGCAAGGCGTGATTCACGCTCCGTACTAACACTGCCGCTCGGCAGTACAAATGTGACCGTGCATTTTATATTGCGGTGGGCTGTGGAGCCGCTGTCACGGTGGTTAGCGCACTGCACGATGATCCTGGTCACCATGAGTTCAACTCCCGGCCACGGCTAGCACGTCAAGTGGCGAGCGAGTGATATCTAAACCAGTCTCACCTGGCCGCCCCCCGTCGCCGACCACACAGACCAGAGCGTGGTGAAGTATGGTCAAACAACCAACACATGATCATCTACACGGCGATGGGAGAGGTCTTCGTCGACTGGATTGACTGACACGCGGCTGTGAGTAAATAATGCAATCTGTAATTCTCGCGCAGAGAGAATCAATAAAATACAAGCCGCGCTGTAAGACTGCAATAGAATGGCGTTAGGCGGGCACGGCTCCTGTAATCGATGGAGGGGACCTTTACTCAACACGAGCAAAGGCAAGCCGCGTTCGTCTGAAAGACGACGTGGGAAATACTAACCGAGTGCTCTCTGCGCCTCTGAATTGTGCCTTTCTCGCCTAAATATCTGGAATAAGTTCGACCACCGCAACACACGAGGTTTCCACCCCGTCTCTCTGCTGATGGAGCCCTACACTAGTTCCAGCGTGACTCAGCGACTTGCACAACCTACAGAACTCTCCTCGCGTGTGTAACGCATGCGACACAGTTAACCACGGATTCAAATATCACTCGGTATGTTCCCAAAGGCTGCTGCTGCTGCTGCTAGGCCGGCTTGGGGCACGGGTTATCCCGCACCTCCGATCATCACGGTTGCCTACGTACGGTGCGAAAAGAAGTGCAAGGTGCATACATTAGCGGCATAAGGCACTACCACTAGAGTGAAAGGTGCAACGGTCATCGATGATACATCCTACATGATTGTACCCTGTGTTGCTGTCATGCCATGAGCATGCACCGCACACGCCACCGCAGCAGCATTGTGAGGACATCACGAGGCGAGGTGGACGTCGTGTCCTTCAATTCGGGAACGGCTTTCCCGGACTGTTCCCGATGAACTCAAAGCACTGGCGGTACACCCTCGTGCATCCGCCCGCTCCTTTCTCAGGATTGCCGATTAGCCGTGCTGGCGTAAGAAGGGAGATGGCTTTTTTTTAATACTTTAAAGCGAGCATTGTTGTGAGAGTAGACAACTCCTCGCTTGTCGGGAGGGAGGAGGTCAGTGACGCAGAGCCCACGTGACCACACACATGTCAATTAGTTGGGAGACGCAAAAACACTAACAAACAAATGACATTTCGACGCCTTCACCCAATCTACACAGGTGGTCGGTAAACCGGGTACCAAACTGTGGGAAGACAACAGAAGCAGGCCCGTGCCCCTTGGTTGGGCATGACATAGGAACGTGACATTTCCACCAGCGCATTGACTGGCTCAGGGCTATACAATGAACACCGAGCGAGTTGTGTTCATATCACACGGGATGTACCCGTCGCATAGAAGTGCAGTACAACGATGCACACTATAGTGCAACAATGAATCTTACCGCCATGCCCTCTACTGCCCACAACGTAGCCCGTGTCCCCCCCCCCCCGTCCACGCTCCCCGCCTTCACCAAGGCACGCGGTACCAGCGCGGTGAAGTATGGTCAAACCACCCGCACGACCCGAACGGCGCAGGGAGGTCCTTGTCCAGCAGTGCATTGAGAAATGGCTGACCATGCGGGAAGTTAAAGCCACAAACACACAGCACACACACACACATCTATGATAACACCCATCGTGTGAGTTCGCAATCCGGCACTTTTGAGGCAAGGGTTGGTGGATCGACAGAGAGATCTGTGAAACTTCCAAACCCAGTAGTGCTCGGCCAGGAAAATGAGAGCACAGCAAATTTGGTCGCAATCCATCTGTGCGGAGCTTTGAGTGGCATCCCCTCGGTGCGCGGTGGGGTTACTCCGGGCACTCCGGTTTCCTCCGACATCGCCAACTCTCATCGGAGGAAATTGGCCAAACGTCAAAGCGCAGGACTCTCCTAAGGAGCAGCCTCGAGACGCAGTGCGGTTTTAAATAAGGAGCAAGCAGCATTTAGTTACGTAGAGTGCGCAGCCTTTTGTCACTCCACTGTTGAACGAATGCCCCTCCACGCCGCTGCCAGTCACGAGCGTTATTTAGGCCGTACATCACCACGCCGGTCATCGCGGGCTGCTGAAGGCGAAGCCGAGCACCGTCTCTGACATCGCCCGCCACCGGCGTGAGTTGGCCGTGTTCGCGAATCTCAACTCAGGTGGCACAGGTTCGCAACGCAGTGCTAACCGCTGCGCCACCGCTCCCCCGCGACATCATCGACATCATCGACATCATCATCATCACCGACACTAAAATCACAATTCAGTGCTCGGTGATAACTCACCAGGTGCGGTCCCACGAGCAGCGCGTACAGCCAGACGCGTCCTCCTAGGGGGGACGGGGGCGAGTCTGGACGGCCCTGCCCCTGGACTTGCCCCTGGCCGTGCCCTTCCCCAGCGAAGGGACCGTGCAGGGCAGCACGAACCAGCGCCCCCTGGCGCCGCTTGAGACTCTCGAGGTGACGGATTCCGGCGAGCGCAGACTCCAGTCGGATGGCGGTGAGTCGCGGGGCAGCTCCGGCAGCGGACAGCGGCAGTGACAGAGGCGCGGCCCCGTCTTGGGGTGGTCCGTCGACCCTCTCGCGCGACACCTCCACGCCCACCGACATGGCTGGCTTGCGATGGCCCCGCCGCACGCGAGATGCGTGATTGTGTCGTGACCCACTCTGTCTTATTTGTTGTAGGCTTATATCTCGATTGCCGAGCCTATCCGCATTCGGTTTGCCCCATCCGACGTATTCCCCCTCTCTCGCTGTCGCTGTAATACGGAGGAGGGAGCCGTCGACAATTCAACACAACATAGAGTTGTTATTATTGTGTTGAGAAGACACTGTTGTATTCGTCCGGGCTACATTGTGTTCAACAGCCGATCTCTGAACACAACGTCGGCTGGCCGGCTGATGCTTGCTGATGGTGATGGTGCTGAATAACGCGAGACGCGCTCACGGAATGCGCCTCCTCCTCCGTGATGGTCTGAGCGCGACTGCGCCGCTTGTGGAGCGCAAGAGGCGAGCAGCGAGCGCTGACCATTCATCCCCCGCCTCCTCCTCCTCCCTTCTCCCTCCTCAATTCATCAAAGACAAAGATTCCCCGTATAGCCTAAACAGACTTTTGGGGCAAGCGCTGTATGTGAGCACCCATGAAGGCCGGCATGGCAGACGAGGGGGTGGATAGCCAGCGCCTCACGCGTCCGCCTTTGTCTCCCCAGTGACGATACTTAAGCACAGCATCAGGTACTAATTTGAGGCTGAATCTACCTAGGAGAGGTCCACGACCGCTTCAGATAATCGTCACTGGCTTTGACCGTGAGCGGGAATCGAACCCGGGTCGCTGGGTTCGTAGCGCAGCGCCGCTACACTACCACCTCCACCCGCTCCATCAAGACACCCCCACCGCATGCACGCGTGCGTCTCTGTGTCTCTGTGCACGCATGCGTCTCTATGTCTCTGTGCACGCGTGAGTCTCTGTGTCTTTGTACACCCGTGAGTCTCTGTGTACACGTGAGTCTCTGTGTCTCTGTGTACGCGTGAGTCTCTGTGTCTCTGTACATGCGTGCGTCTCTATGTCTCTGTGCACGCGTGAGTCTCTGTGTCTCTGTACACCCGTGAGTCTCTGTGTACACGTGAGTCTCTGTGTCTCTGTGTACGCGTGAGTCTCTGTGTCTCTGTACATGCGTGCGTCTCTGTGTCTCTGTGTGCGCGTGAGTCTCTGTGTCTCTGTGTACGCGTGAGTCTCTGTGTCTCTGTGCACGCGTGAGTCTCTGTGTCTCTGTGTACGCTTGAGTCTCTGTGTCTCTGTGTACGCGTAAGTCTCTGTGTCTCTGTGTACGCGTGAGTCTCTATGTCTCTGTGTACGCGTGAGTCTCTCTGTGTCTCTGTGTACGCGTGAGTCTCTGTGTCTCTGTGTACGCGTGAGTCTCTGTGTCTCTGTGTACGCGTGAGTCTCTGTGTCTCTGCGTACGCGTGAGTCTCTGTGTCTCTGTGCATGCGTGCGTCTCTGTGTCTCTGTGTGCGCGTGAGTCTCTGTGTCTCTGTGTACGCGTGAGTCTCTGTGTCTCTGTGCACGCGTGAGTCTCTGTGTCTCTGTGTACGCGTGAGTCTCTGTGTCTCTGTGCACGCGTGAGTCTCTGTGTCTCTGTGTACGCGTGAGTCTCTCCGTCTCTGTGTACGCGTGAGTCTCTGTGTACGCGTGAGTCACTGTGTCTCTGTGTGCGCGTGAGTCTCTGTGTCTCTGTGTACGCGTGAGTCTCTGTATGCACGTGAGTCTCTGTGTCTCTGTGTACGCGTGAGTCTCTGTATGCACGTGAATCTCTGTGTCTCTGTGTACGCGTGAGTCTCTGTGTCTCTGTGTACGCGTGAGTCTCTGTGTCTCTGTGAACGCGTGAATCTCTGTGTCTCTGTGTACGCGTGAGTCTCTGTGTCTCTGTGTATACGTGAGTCTCTGCGTACGCGTGAGTCTCTCTGTCTCTGTGTACGCGTGAGTCTCTGTGTCTCTGTGTGCGCGTGAGTCACTGTGTCTCTGTGTACGCGTGAGTCTCTGTGTCTCTGTGTACGCGTGAGTCTCTCTGTGTCTCTGTGTACGCGTGAGTCTCTCCGTCTCTGTGAACGCGTGAGTCTCTGTGTACGCGTGAGTCTCTGTGTCTCTGTGTACGCGTGAGTCTCTGTATGCACGTGAGTCTCTGTGTCTCTGTGTACGCGTGAGTCTCTGTATGCACGTGAATCTCTGTGTCTCTGTGTACGCGTGAGTCTCTGTGTCTCTGTGTACGCGTGAGTCTCTGTGTCTCTGTGAACGCGTGAATCTCTGTGTCTCTGTGTACGCGTGAGTCTCTGTGTCTCTGTGTATACGTGAGTCTCTGCGTACGCGTGAGTCTCTCTGTCTCTGTGTACGCGTGAGTCTCTGTGTCTCTGTGTGCGCGTGAGTCACTGTGTCTCTGTGTACGCGTGAGTCTCTGTGTCTCTGTGTACGCGTGAGTCTCTCTGTGTCTCTGTGTACGCGTGAGTCTCTCCGTCTCTGTGAACGCGTGAGTCTCTGTGTACGCGTGAGTCTCTGTGTCTCTGTGTACGCGTGAGTCTCTGCGTCTCTGTGTACGTGTGAGTCTCTGTGTACGCGTGAGTCTCTGTGCACGCGTGAGTCTCTGTGTCTCTGTGTACGCGTGAGTCTCTGCGTCTCTGTGTACGCATGAGTCTCTGTGTACGCGTGAGTCTCTGTGTACGCGTGAGGCTCTGTGTCTCTGTGTACGTATGAGTCTCTGTGTACGCGTGAGTCTCTGTGCACGCGTGAGTCTCTGTGTCTCTGTGTACGCGTGAGTCTCTGCGTCTCTGTGTACGCGTGAGTCTCTGTGTACGCGTGAGTCTCTGTGTCTCTGTGTACGCGTGAGTCTCTGCGTCTCTGTGTACGCGTGAGTCTCTGTGTACGCGTGAGTCTCTGTGTCTCTGTGTACGCGTGAGTGTCTGTGTACGCGTGAGTCTCTGTGTCTCTGTTGGCGTAGTGGTCACCGCGCCTTCCCTCCGTTCGATTCTCAATCCGGGCATACATTAGCGGCACGTGGTGTCTGGATCTGTCGTGACGTCTCATTTTCTCGACTCGGTCTTACTTCACTGGCTATAGTGCGGTGGGCAATTAGCAGAACCGCTGTGATTCTTGCCACACAGATTCTTGCCGACAGTACTTTTACACCATCAGTCGATTTAAAGACTTTGCAAAGGATCAAGATCTTTGCATTGCTGGTATGGCTTGGGCCTCGTACAGATCGACTCGGACTAAAATGAACACCCGGTGTAGAATTGTGGCAACGGCAGTAGGTAGTGTGTGTGTGTGCTGGATTGCTATCAGGTGCTCGCTAACAGCACTGTACAGTTAAATAACTGTCAAATATCATCGACAACCATCGAAAATCATGACCATCATCAATTACAATTATCATCGAACAACCGTCGTCAATTAACCCTTGTCGATTAACTGACGGCATTCAGTTCTCCCTTAATGCGACTGTGTTCCTGATGGGTGCAAACATCATTTAGTACACACATGCGCGCGCGCGTATACACTCTCATTTGCACACACACTCATCTAATGTAAATCTCACATATATAATTGCAAAGGGGCCACCTCTGTATCAAGGTTTAACCCAAACCACGAGCATCGCTATTCCGCCTTCTCCAATGAAGCAGCCAAACTACAAGGAGTTTCGATCATTGAATCGGAGCATGAGTTTATTGTTACTTGCGCAATACAACATACTAATAATAATTATCCACTGCTGGATGAAGGTGTCTCCCACGTCGTGTCAGTCATGGGGCATGTTCAGCCATACTTCACCACGCTGGTCAATGGTAATTTAGCAAAGGGAGGGGGTGGGTGACAGCCTTTGCAAGGACCGGTTCAGATATCACTCGCCACCGATATTAGCTATGGCGGAGTGCGCTAACCGCAGCGCCACCGCTCCACGTGCGCAATAATCCAGGCGAACGGCCGTGATGCCCACGTGGCGACTGAATGGGACATCCTGCAGAGAGGCTCAGAGCTCTCGGCTGGAGCTGGCCTCGGGGCTGTGGGAGCTGCCGGGCCGTGTGTGCGGCCAGAGGGGTTTTAGTGCACGGGCAAGGTCTGACGGGAGGGTCAGGTCTGGAGGTTAATGGTCTCCTGCAGGGCAGTTCTCAGGGGGTGCACGCGGGACCCCCTTGTTTATAAAGGGTCCCCTTCATCCCCTTGACCCCGCTCCTGTTCCCCGCCTGGATGTGCCCCCTCGTGACACTCGACGACCTCGACTCATGCACGACATTTGCTCGCACTGCGACTATGAATCAACTGCACCTGGACGCATTTAGAGCGTGGGACTGCCGACCATTCGGACGAGAACGCAACACGGCAAACAAGATCGCTAAGTAACGCACGCATTTGTCTATGATATTTACACAGCGCACCGGGTAAAACATTTTTTTTTTAAAGGCGGAGAAATCAACCGAGCGTGAGCCCAATGACCGGTACAGAGATTCGCGACCGATTGTGACCGTGAGCGGGAATCGAACTCAGTTCGCTGGGTTCGTAGGGCAGTGTGTTAACCACCACACTGACGCTTCCACACATACAGCAACAACCGCCATTCGCCACTAAGTGGCGGTGACGTCACCACGACGCTTGTGCCAGGCCATGTGCACCTTGAGGCCACGTGAAGTGTCGAACGCCCGCTGGCAGGAGGTCACGGGGCAGACCAAAGTGCCACGGGTCGACTGACTAAGATGACTGAGATGACTGGCTGATGCACCACACACACATACACACACACATACACACACACACACATGCACACACACACATACACACACACATACACACACACACATACACACACACATACACACACAGACACGCACAGACACGCACGAGCGCGTTGCGCACAGCAGCCCAGAGTCACCGCAAGCATTACAACTTCAAAACAAGGCATGCTTTGTTGTGTTTAGTATGTTGTACTTCCCCCCGAACCTCCGATTAGCACGGTTGGCTACGTGCGGTGGGAAAGAAGTTCAACATACATCGATGCAAAACGCGTGGACTACATAGCGCTTTATAAATTAGAAATACGGAAGCCGACGGGGTTCCCCAATGTTCCTCAAAGTTCTGGATTGCGTCTCCAGGTTTTGCGTCGTCCCGTGATCAACGCGGCCGGAGAGTCGTGGCTCGAACGGGAATCCTTCTGGCACGCGTGGCACGTCAAGATTCCACTGCCATCGTGACGCGCGCCCGGGACTCAGCCCCAGCTCCATCGGGCCGAGCTTTAAGTGAGGGGGGTTCGATCGCGTCAATATATAAATGTTGTGTCGTTAAAACCCGCCACCACCCGACACAGCCAACGAGTAAAGCTTGTCACGTAAACAGAACATTTCAGTTCATTTCAGTTCAATTCATTTATTGGGTATAGCCCTGTGAGCCATGCGGCTCTTGAATCGGGTGCAACCACAGCAAACAAAAACATGAACTAGAAAACATCTTAGAGTGACTACGTGCAACAGAAAAATCCAG